GAGACAGACAGACAAAGGAACAGACGGACAGACCAACAGACAAACGACAGACAGCAATACAAAATTATAAACGATCTCTAGGATAGTTAATAAACGGCAAAAGTGTGAAATTATGGAACATGTAAAAAACGGTTTTTTGTTTTTTTTACAATAACTCTTTTTGTAAGCGGTACAGAAAAAATTCACAGTGTCCTTTTCGCATCTCGACGATTTATAGACCGAATTGCAAACTTTTTTATTTATAAAAGTATTTGAATGAAATTTGATTCATAGGGACTTGGAATAAATGAAAATCTAACGACAGTTTCAAAATTTGATTTTGCGCATGCGCAGTGCCAACTTTTTAATTTATGGAAGCCTTTAAATGAAATTTGATACATAGACACTTGGAATAAAGGAAAATTTTCTATAAGACTAAGTAGAGCCCCGACCCATCTCTACTTCCCCTGGGCTTACCAGGCTTACCTAAAGGTAATTTTGTTGCATGCGCTCAACGTACATGTAACATTGGGAGTGGATATCCCAGGCCGAGCTTTTCTCGGGTAATAAATCTTCCGAGAGTGAATTCTGAAACACGAACATCGCGCACGATATATTTGGGGCGAATGTATTGGATATGAATATTCTGCCGGAGCAAATATTCGGGGATTAGGTATTGCTAGCGACAAACTTTCTCTCCGCGGGGAATTTTTGAAAGCAAATATGCTAAGACCAATTTTTCTAAGTTCTAACGAAGGGCAAGCTTGGTACAGAAAGTTGGTACAAGTCTGCCGACAAGTTTCACGTAGAGGTTAGATGCTCTACTATGAACAAGAAACCCACCAATAATAAAAAGAACAGATCGCACTGATTTTTCTGTGATTCTTCTAATATATTCTTAAAATAAGTATTCTTTTAACATGCTAGAAGGTATGTGAATATTCCAAATAACTATAGCGTATAGAATGTTCTATGAATATATACGTTCGTCTGGCATGATTTTTTAAATGACATTCGGCAATGAATATACTGAGAACACACTTTCAATATATTCCTTGATTTTTCGGTATTGAACAGTATATTGCAATATTCCCTGGATGTTATTAACTAGTTCGTTAGACACATATTTTGAATTAAACATTAGTTTTATTATGTCGTAAACTATGCACTTGTAATGAAACAAAGTTAAACCTAACTTATATCATTGAATAAAAACACTATTTTTATTCAATGCTTATATGCAGTTTACAGATCCAGTCGCCACTGCAAAAATTTCCATTTAGTACGATATTGTGCCGTGTATACCATCTCCATGTTAAATAATTGGGAATATGAGACTAATTGGGGGGGGGGTATTACTCAATGCCCCTAATACACCTTATAGTTATGGCATGTGGATAAGTTAAATGACATGTGAGGATTGTATTGAATAGTTAACATACCTGAAGAAAGATGCATTTATAGTAATCAAGTATGTGATTTGAAATAAATAGCAGTTTGTCACTTATAATTGCACAAGAGGTTTGTATTTTACCGAGTAAATTTGGGTTGTTAAGGTAATGAAAATTTGTTGCCTAGCAATTAGACGAGAAAAACTGTCAACTAATAAAAATGCGACACCGAAGGTGGAGCATTTTTAGGTTGACAGTTTTTCGAGTTCAATTGCTAAAAGGAAACAGATTTGAATTGCAGCAACCCAAATTTGCTCGGTTTAAATGCAAACCTCGAGTGTAATTCGGCAGGACAATTTAACGAACAAGAAATTCACCAAACTAGTCAATTATTGACAGACGTCAAACTAATCATATGGGAAAGGATAATGCGATAATTGGTGCGAAAATGAATAAGTGAAAAAACCACTAGTGCATTTGTCGCTGGAAAAGTTGCAGGTAACTTTTGCCGCTGTCAAAGTGACAATTGCACTGCGGCTTATGCGATTTTTTATACATGAGTTGAATTGTCAATACAATAAAATTGATCGATTATAGAATATTCTCTTTTTCGTGAATTATCTTTTTACACACGCGGTTAAACTATCAACGGGTAGTTGTAGTCCCTAGCCGCATCAACTAGAACATTTTTGGTGACCCCGACGTGATTTGTGAGTTGTTGGACAATTCGAAAACTTGAAAACCTATGAATCGATTAGAGAGAGCGCGTCGTCCTGTCAGGCGGCAGTTGAAGAAGTTGTGTGATGACATAAATGTTGAAAGCCAAAATACTATTCCGGATTTGGATCAGATGCGTGTGAATGTATTAATGTTGGAGGATACTCATCGGGAATTGCAAACATTGGACGATACGATCAAAAACCAAATGCTTGACGACACCGTGGACGATGATCAACAAAATGAAGAATTTGATGATATCGCTCAATATAAGAAAATGTTTCAAACAGCAAGGCGAGTGTTTGAAGTGCTGAGAGATGGAAAATGCAAATCCATAACTGAAAATGAGAACTTGCCAGTATTGGGTAATCAAAGAAATTTTAAATTCCCAAAATTTAACTACAAAAAGTTTAACGGAGAAGTCAAAGAGTGGTTAGGATTTTGGAGTCAGTTTAAAAAGATAGACGAAGACATTACCATACATGACAGTGACAAGTTTCAATTTTTGGTACAATTGATGGTAGATGGGTCCCGTGCCCATGAATTGGTGTGTAGTTATCCGCAGACTGCAGAGAATTATCCCAAAGCCGTAAAAGCGTTGAAAGAGAGGTTTGGGAGAGAAGAATTCTTGGTTGAAGTTTATGTGCGTGAAATGCTAAAATTAATTATTCACAATGTCAGTCAAACTGAAAAACAGGATGATTTGTCAAAACTTTATGACCAGTTGGAAAGTCATTTGCGTGCATTGGAGTCGTTAAAAGTAACTTCAGACAAATATGACTCAATGTTGTATCCGATGGTGGAGTCCTGTCTGCCCGCTAATATATTACAAGCATGGCAAAGAAGTGCGGAGTGGAAGGGAAGGATGCTGACAAAACCACAAATAAGTTGAATAAATTGATGCAGTTCTTACGTATGGAAGTTGAAGGTGAACAACGAATTTCCTTGGCTCAAGAAGGTTTTGGTTTGGCTTCAAATCCTTCGAATAAAGTAAAAAATGTAATCCAGAAAAAAGTTGAGAAAATTCCTACGGCAATGGAACTACACTCTGGAAATGTTAAAAGCTCTTGTGGATTTTGTGAAAAGAGTCACGATACTCAAGATTGTTTCATCGCACAAGGGTGGTCGCTAGAAGACAGAAAACAGAAGCTTAAAGAGACAAAACGTTGTTTTACTTGCCTACGATTTGGTCATAGATCAAAATCTTGTAAATATCGAGTGAAGTGTATCGTATGTAGTAAGCATTGAGTTAGAAAACTAATGGAGGGAATATAATGGTAGAGGGGGTAAGAATTTTTGTAGACGGAAGTTGCCACAGATAGAGGCCACTCGCGTGGATAGGTTCCCGTGAAGGTACATTTTGGCCGACATTATTTGACATATGAAAACGCGGGTCCTGTCACTGTCAGTTTTCCACCAAATACAAATTTTATTAAATTTGCCATTTTAAAGTACCTAATAATTTCGGATCGGTTTGTGCTCTGGTTTATATAAATAACTAACTGCCGCATAGTGTTTTTATCACACGCAATTTTGTGAATTGAGAAAGATTAGCTGTGTATCATGCAAAATTTCTCATAAAGGGAAGAAACAGGGCATTTCCTTTCATCGGTAAGACATGTCATTTATCATGTTGTAGGCGAGGTTGTAGGTACCTAGTTTATGTTTCGTAGTTTTCCAAACGAACCGTACTTCGAGCAAAATGGTAATATTACATTTGTAAATATATCTCAAGACAGCTCTCGAAATTTACTTTTGTGCTCACAACGCTTCATTGACTGTGATTTCGACCAAAGGTTGCACGGGAAAATGTTCATCAAATATGGAGTAGGTACTATCAAAACTTGTAATGAACCTGAGACCAACCAATCAATTGTAGCTATTGATCAACACAATGAATTTAATGGGAGTTGTCAAGTTGTAGTGGCTATAGTAATCTGGCCTTAATTATACTAATGGAACACATCGATGTATATTTAGATTTGTAATCAATGATTATATTAAATCTGCATACTTTCCCATCCTTGTCTATTTTGTTTTCTTTACCCGATCATGTATTTTTACTCCTTCTATCCTTTTTTTTTGTTATTATTCCTATTAGTGGAAAGAAAATTATATCTCTACGCCACTGAAGTGAGACGCTAATGATAACGGAAGTGGTGTGGTACTTTAATCACAGTTAGAGGCCACTTTTGGTTCCGTGGTCTACGTCTGGCCAAGCATTTGATTCCCTCCATTAGTTTTCTAACTCAATGTAGTAAGAGACATTATGTAATTTTATGTCCTGATCTCCAGAAGAGTGATACAACCTCAGAAAGTAGAAAGTGCAATGAAGGTGATAAGGATTTGGAAAATTTGTCTACGAGTATGACGAGTCGTGTATGCAGTGGGGATGTAATTCTACAAACACTTCGTGTGAAAGTCCTTGGAAAAAATACATCTAAGGAAGTGCGTGCATTTATCGACCCTGGAGCGCAATTCTCCTATATTCTGAAAAGTTTGGCGTTAGAATTAGGGTACAGTAAAATTACAGAATCAACGTTTTCCCATAATTTGTTTGGAGGTGCATCTACAGTTTCTAAAACGCACAAAAAGTATAAACTTTACTTGGAAAGTTTGTCTTCCAAATTCAAATGTCATTTTGACGTATACGATGAAGACAACATTTGTGGTGGGATTCCTAAACTATTAAACGCCAATTGGACACAAGAGCTACATGAACGTGGAATTGTAGTGAACGACGTCGGTAGGGGAAGTTATAAAATCGAAGTTCTGATTGGAGGTGATATTTATGGGAAGTTGCTAACTGGAAAGTTGCATCAATTATAAAGCGGGTTAACTGCAGTTGAGACACTATTAGGGTGGACTGTTTTGGGAAAAGTAAAAACTTGTGGTGAATGGTCTTCTACTAGTATGATAGTTACGTCAATGCTCAATTCGTCATCCACAATTACAAATTTGTGGGATTTAGAAAAAATTGGTATTGCTGATCCTTGTGAAAAGCTAACAAAGGCCGAAGTCGATAACCAAGTGCGGGAACATTTTCGGCAGACCGTATCAAGGGATAGTGACGCTCAGAGAAGGTTAGAAAATGCGAAACAAAAGTTGAAAGCAGACGGAAAGTACATGGACTACGAACAGGTATTTAAACAATGGTTAAACCTTGATGTAATAGAAGAAGTAAAAGGTGAATGTGTAAGTTGTCATTATTTACCACACCGACCTGTGTACAAACCAGACAGTAGCACTACAAAGGTGCGACCGGTATTTGACGCATCATGTTGTAGTGCAGGTGGCGCGTCAAGTCTTAATCAATGTTTAGCTAAGGGGCCCAATCTGCTCGAACTTATTCCTGACCTCCTCTTACGCTTTAGAGAAAAGTCAGTCGCTGCAACAGCTGATATTGAAAAAGCATTTTTGATGATTGGAGTTAAGGAAGATGATCGAAACTTCCTACGGTTTCTCTGGTGGGAGGATTCTACATGTTCAGATATGAAAATTTATCGACATAAGCGTGTCGTTTTTGGTGTTAACTGTAGTCCATTCCTTTTATCTGCAGTTATTGAATACCATTTGCGAAGAGTTGATCAGCATCTTAGGTCAACAGCGGATAAGTTATTAACAACGTTATATATGTTGATAATGTAGTTGCATGTTTTGATAACGTCGAAGAATACATGAAATTCAAGAACGAGTCAACGCGTATAATGGCAGAAGCGAAATTTTGTCTTCGAATGTGGGAAAGTAACGTGGATGATTTTCTCGAACAGCTAGTAGTTACTAATGTATTGGGAATGAAGTGGAATCGAAGGTCTGACACCTTGTCATGTTTTGTAAACGTTAAAGGAGTTGAAAAAGCTACCACTAAACGAATTATTTTGGCTGAAGTAGCTAAAATATTTGATCCGCTTGGAATATTAGCTCCTGTGACGTTAGTACCAAAGTTACTACTTCAGGAAACCTGGAATTCAAAACTTGGTTGGGATGAATCTGTGTCATCCGAAGTGTCGAGAAAATTCCTTAAATGGAAACATGATATTGCGTTACTCAATTTATTAGAAATTCCTCGTTGGGCTTGCAGAGGCAACAAACAAAGTTGGACTCTTCATACATTTTGTGACGCAAGTAAAAGTGGATATGCTGCCACAGTTTTTCTTCGAAGTGAAATCAACGGTACAGGAATGGTACAGCTATTGATGGCCAAATCCAGAGTTGCTCCTTTAAAGGATATAACCATTAATAGGTTGGAATTGATTTCTTGCGAAATTGGTAGTAGACTGTGTCAGACTGTAGAAAATTCATTAAAGTTGGATGATGTTAATCGTTACTTCTGGACAGATTCTACTACGGCATTGTCTTGGATAAAACGTAACGATAATTGGGGAACCTTCGTAGGAAATAGGGTGAAAAAGATCCTTTCAAACACTGAACCAGAGGAATGGCGACATGTTCCTGGGTCCTTGAATCCTGCGGATTTGCCTTCTCGTGGGTGTGATGCTCGTTCATTATTGGAGTCAAAGTGGTGGGAGGGACCAGCTTGGCTTAAAGATGTTGAACAATGGCCCATCAATAAATATGTCGAAAATGAAGATGAAGTTCAACAAGAGAGGAAGAGGATGGTTACGGCGTTTAATGCGGTGATGAAGGATGAGATTCCTTGGTATTTTCCTACGAAGTGTAAGTTTTCCAAGTATAATAAACTTGTAATAGTTATGGGTTATGTGATGCGGTTTATATGTCGTTGCCGTACGCATAATAATTTTTATTCAATAGTTCTCACAGTTGAAGAACTTAGAGTTGCAGAGCAGAAATTATTGTTTATGGTTCAGAAAGAAGTGTTTACAGATAAAAATAAGTCATTTCCGTTTAATGTGGAGAAAGATACTAGTGGTCTATTAAGAGTTAAAACACGGATAACAATGAGGAAGGATTCTGATTATTTTGTTCGACCTATTCTGCTTCCTTCAAGACATCCTGTTGTTGATGCGCTTATTCATGAGGAACATTTAGATAAGTGTCACGCAGGAGTTCAATACCTCGTGTCCCACTTAAGAGAGAAGGTTTGGATCTTAAAAGGTAGAAAAGCAATACAACATGTGATTCGCAATTGCGTGAAGTGTAGACGTTTTCGAAGAAAAGCGCCAGATCCAATCATGGCACCATTGCCAGAGAATCGTGTTAGAGATGCTCATCCCTTTGAAATCATAGGAATTGACTACGCTGGTCCTATGTATCTAAAAGACGGCAGTAAAGTTTGTGTAGCTCTATATACGTGTGCTGTTTATCGTGCAGTACACTTAGAATTGGTGACAAATCTAACCACTGAAGCATTCTTAATGAGTTTAAGAAGATTTGTCGCAAGAAATGGTCGACCATCTGTGATTTATACAGACAACGGAACCAACTTCGTTGGAGCTAATAGACTTCTTGCTGGACTTGAGTGGGGTAGGATTGAAAAGGAAACATCTGTTCAAAAAATTAAATGGATACTGAATCCTCCTTCTGCTCCTTGGTACGGTGGTTGGTTTGAGCGTTTAGTGAGGACAATGAAAGAATTGCTTGTACGTGTACTTGGTTCGTCGATTTTGAATTATGAAGAACTGGTTACTGTCCTTTGTGATGTTCAAGGTGTTATAAATGGAAGACCCTTAACTTACGTATTTGAAAATGATGACTTACTGCCATTGACGCCCTCTATGTTTCTACAGGGAGTTCGTGAAGTTGGAGTGCCAGATATTGATATGCTGGATAACAAAGGGTTCCAGAAAAGATACAGGTTGCGTCAACGACTTATGAATGATCTTCGTCATCGTTTTCGAAAAGAATATATTGGAATGTTAATTGATAAGAAGCGTAAGACAAATGATATCACGTTGAAGGTTGGTGACGTAGTCCTAGTTGGGTCGGATAATAAAAAGCGGTTAGCGTGGCCTATCGGTCGAATAACAGAAATGATTCGTGGTCGCGATGGTATTTGTAGAGTTGCAAAACTGAAAACGTCACGAGGTGTGTTCATCCGACCAGTCCAACGCTTGTATCCAATGGAGGTATCAAGTGAAGACGTAGAAGAATTGGATGCAAAAAATAAATGTAAATTAAAGTTGAAAACTGAAGATGTTGGTGAATCACAGGTATTATCGAAAGCTGGTCGAGTTATTAGAAAACCAGATAGGTTAAATTATGAGAATTAGATTAGATTTCTTAATTTGGTAATGTTTTTAAAAATTACCTTTTAGTAATTTTGATGGGAGTATGAAGAAAGATGCATTTATAGTAATCAAGTATGTATGTAACAGATTTGAAATAAATAGAAGTTTGTCAATACAATAAAATTGATCGTCTCTTTTTCGTGAATTATCTTTTTACACAGGCGGTTAAACTATCAACGGGTAGTTGTAGTCTCTAGCCGCATCAACTAGAACAATACCTTTTCTAATAACCTTATAAATGTCCTGTGAATATTCACTTCCAAAATTTCATTGTAGAGTAGTTATGGGTCAAGTGTAGAGCATATTAAAAAAATATTGGGAAGAAACGGATACAGTTCTTTCAAGTTTATGTTTAGAACATCCGAAAAAGCATATTCCTCATACAAAGAATATTCCGAATAATTCAGAATATTCTGTAAGTTAATTTTTATAATACCCAAGTCGTATATAATGCTGTGTTATTTTGTCTGGCAGGACGAAATTTTGGGATTCTTAACTAGAATGGACAAGGGCGGTTTCAATGTAATTAATTCTCATAATTTAAATTTTTGTTTTGTATCGTTTGTTAAGTACTTCAACAGAAATTATTGTTACGAAAAAGAGGTCAAGGTTTGTAGTGTTTACGTTTTAATCTCATTTTTGATTTTATTTAACGTAGATTTCTGAGAATTTTATATCGCTTTTATTCTGTTATCATTATAAACCCTTAATTTAATTGGCAGGTGGATGTTATTTATCGCCTTTTCATTGTATTTAAAAGATAGAAAATTCTATTTTTCCCGGTATTTTAATTTCGTGTTATCTCTTAATGTCGGTTAAAAACTGATTATAAAAATAATTTCTACCTCTAGTTTAACTTACGTTAGTGTTGTCAACTGCTTATCATTGGCTGTTTTAATTTGTAATTTTGGAAGAAGAGTTTCCACCTTAAATAGAACGGACTGAGAAGAGGAAGAGCTTTTTGCCAGAATCAACGCAGAACTACGTTTGGTTGAAATTTATATCACCTTTTGCCAAGATGAGAGCAGATCCACGTCTGCAGAAGTTTGAAGTTTGTTTTGGAGTTGTGAAGTTTTTATTCGTCAGTTTGTTGCCAGTCAGGGCAGTTTTTGAGTTGAGTGACGTTTGTTTTATTTTCGCTTCGGCGAGTTACCGCAGTAGTTTGGATTGGGTAGAGTCCAGCAGCATTGGAAGTTGGTGGAGTTTCCGTTTTACGGAGTGGCAAGCTGAGTTGCAGCAGTTTTGGAAGTTTGGACCTTCAGTAAAGTGCGTCACTAAGGTGTGGTCGGCGCCGACTTGAGTGTTTTTTGTAATTTTGAAATTTTGTTGTTTTTTTTTGTGTGTAACGTATTTGGGATTAGCAGTTTTGGACATGTACCGAATGTAAGTAAAATTAAGTTTTAATTTTAGTTTTTTTTATCTTTGTAATAATTGTTTGTTTTCCTTGTTGTTTTTTTTTATTGTGTAACCATTAAAACTGAAATTTGTAATTCTCACATTAATTTCTGTGTTTGTCTTTCGAATGATTTCATTTCCTTTAATTTACTGTTTTCTTTGGATACTTGCCCAAGGTCCATTTTATTTAATCAAAATTCTTAAGATTGATTTGGAATTTAAGGTATTTGGTCTAACCCACTATCTGGTAGAAGTTAATAATTTAACTGAGAAAAGAGTCGAATTCCTCCTCTGTGCTGGGGAGAAGTTTTGTTCCGAGAAATATAAATGAGCTAGCTAGGTTTGTTTTTGTGTTTTGTGTACGGTCTTTTTGGCCTACGGACCGGTATACACAGCAATATGCATCATGTTCTAAGAATATTCAGAATAAATTGAGAATATTCTTTTAAGTTTATTCTCAGAATTTGCATTTACATTTGCATATGCCTAGTATATCTTACAAGGTAAGGTACCTTACTTCAGTTTAATGTTCAGAATATCCAAAATAGTTTATATATCTCATATACAAAGAATATTTAGAATAAACTGAGAATATTCCGTAAGTTTATTCTCAGAATATCACAAGTGGTATATATGCATTATCTTCTAAGAATATTCAGAATAAATTGAAAATTCGTATATCTTAAAAGCAGGTATAATATATTCTAAGTATATAGAATACACATGTTTAAACATACCTTTTTGAATATTCCTGGTATATTACAGAAATATTCAACGTTATCTGAGCGGTGCTGCCATTTTACTATAATGATCGGTTTTGTAAACATGTTTTCTAAATAATAACTAACAAGGTTGCAGATTCCTTAGAATGCGGTGAATTAGTGTGTGTGAATCGAAAACCACGAACGAAAAACCGCGCTCCTTCTCCCAAAGAGAGCTTTCTAACTGGAAACATGCAAAGGGAATGAATTAATTTGAAATTCAAAGACGGATTAGGAAAAATTGGCATTACGAGTACATATCGTATATCTAATAAAAGTCAAA